TCACGTTATTACGCCTGCGCTGTAGCATTCTGAGTTTATCAAGGACCTTTACAGGACCCGAGGGCTTCAAGTGCATAATATGCATGCAATACAGTTTACAACCTTAACGTAGGTGGTATGCATTGTTCCCGGCGCAAAAAATCTTTGCCATTTTGTTAGTAATGGGTCCTCGTGTAAGCCAGCCTATCTCGAAAACCTATTACAAACTTATTCAATCACTTGAGCACAATGTTGTTAATTTTCCCCTTAATCCTTATCACATGGGTACATGTTCCATCACAATGTTAGCGTTCAACGTTTCAAACATATCACAGTCTGAACCATTATACAGTTGTCCCCTCCCCCTCTCCTCCCTGGCCGACTACAGGATAATGTCAACGTTCAGAGTATCGGGAGATGGCCAGGCTCTCTTCATGTCCTCAGAATCTGAAGTACAGAGACTCAGTGTCTGTAAAGACGACAGGTCTGAACCATACATATATGTACGTGCACTACATCTGAATTTTTCTCTTTTTTCCTATCTGAATCACTATAGTGTGTAATGTGCGATTCGGTATAGCTGGCTAAAATGTAACCTTGTGATGCAACTGAAGTCTTAAGTTGTGACACACCAATAATTTTCACTGGTTGTGGACCAAAGACTAATACGTCTGCAGACGAATATACTAAGAAGATTACAGACACAACTTTGTAGTAAACTTTCTATTAACGTATAGCTGTATGTTCCCTAAAGCTACGTAAGTCCGATGCTCCTTTAGAGTAGTTGCATGTACTCTCCCGGTCTCTTAATTGTCTTAAACACATGTCTGGCAGGTACACAAAATGCGTAAGATTAATGATCCATGAATAGAGAGAAGAAGAAAACGTAAATAAAGTAAAAAAGGAACAAAGAACGCAGTACAAAACAGACAAAATCACAAAAAGACAAATAAACCTGAAACCTCTCTGTCCCATCCCTCCCACCTCCCTGCAGGCTCAACCTGCCTGGCTGCCTCCGAGTTTCCATGTCCAGGTGGCTGAACCTCAACCTGCCGGCAAAGGAAAGATGGACTGGCTGTTTGGCACTGTACCAGTCGAGGTGGACCGCACCAGTGTCTGTAAGTATGCCTCCCTACATAATATATACTGGAACTCCTCTGATCCAGACACCATGGGACAGAAGAAAGTGTCACTTATTGTCAGTGGTTGAATTTCACACAAGAACTGCTCTTGAGGAAAGAAAAAGTGTTCTTTTTAGAGAGGTGTCCTTGGGTGTCCATAGAGTGGAGAAGCGAGTTAGTGAACTGGGGTAGCTTGGCACTCATGGCTATCTGTGAAATAGGCTGTTGTTAACCCTCGGCGTGCATGCTCAGCGAGGGTTACAGTACTTGGTTTGTCTGTCTGTCTGTCTGTGTGTCGATGCTTATTCTTGCACTACAGGCTACGAGGCGGCCCATGAGCGATACCGACGGCTTCCGAACTACGCGAACCTGAAAAATAAAAAGGCGATTTTCCTTAAACGACTGCATTCGTGAGATATGCCGTGAAAACAAGCGAAAAAGCCAATATGCATAATCGAACTGGGCTTACCGCGGCCTGATCCACTTGCTCTGTGTACCTTGGCGGCATAAGAAGTATCCTCCACATGTCCATTAATGGACATTTAGCTTGCAACCTGTGTGGGTACTTCTAATAATTATAATATCAGGTTTATGTTTGACACAGTATCCATTGCTTGTTAATTTATCGGCAGATCGATAATGGATGATGATAAGGCAATCTCATTTGGGATTTGGCATACTTATGCTGAGAGATTGGTTTTAATATTTTGAAACACTTACAGTAGACAGATCTAGAGATTTGAGATAGCTCTTATATTATGCCATAAGTGCAATAGATAATTCTCTGACTAGTTAGCAGCGATGTATATTATATTCGCCTATATACAGTTGGAGTTGGAGCAGGGCAGCCATTGATGAGTGTGGCCAAGAGAGACGGAGTGTCTGGTGCAGGATTTCACCAGTCGACTCGGTCGCAGAGACCTACAGCAAACGGGAGGGATGGACCGCGAGTGACCAGGGTGGCGAGGAGGGGGGAGGAGGAGAGGGGGAGGGAGAGGGAGGAGAGGAGGAGGGGGAACAACGAGGAGAAGGGGGGGAGAGGCAGTAATGAGGAACGGGGGAAGGCGAGCAGAGCATCTCTGGAGAGAAGGAGAGAGGGGGGAACCGGTCTCTCTGGACAGATGAACAGAAACAGAGAGGTCAGTGGGAACAACTATACCAGAGGAATCCAACACGTTTTTGACGAGCGAAGCAAGCAGTTCAATATTCCACACGTCTTTTTGTGTGTATTCAGAATCACGTACATTACAGTATGTGCCGTTCATCGTTAAAGCGGGCTATATTGTAAAAATGGAAAAATCCCGCATTCAGGTGAGCTCGTCAACCTAGTCATCTCAGTTGTGCCGGCACTTTCACGATAATCCATTAAACAGCTGAAATTTTGCAATTGTGCGTGTTTGCTCGCGGCTGATGTTTCACGAAGGCTTCATTCAGGTGCTCTAATACCCAGAAATTATTCGCCAATTTCGCCAATCTTACATTCAAGTAACACTAGAGTTTGGAGCTTGAGCATTCTTGTTTCGTAAGTAACTTGTTGGCCATTACAGATGGTATACACATTATTGTTTGACTGGTTGGTGTTGTTTCCCTAACAGGCCCTGGAGCAGCGTAAGCAGGCACTGACAGAGCTGGAGCAGAAGACAGAGCAGCTGGCGGGCGACGCTGACGACTTTGCATCTCTAGCAGCCAAACTGGCCAACAAGAGCAAGGCCAGGGTGTGGTGAACTTTCATCCATTGCCCCCCCTATCATTATCATCAATTCTTCCACAGTCTTGTATGTATGTATTATGTGCACCGTATGTGTGTGTATAATGCACCACGTGATGAATTTTACCTCAGTCCATTCATTATGATGTCATACGTTGCTCACTGTGTAATGTAATGATGTCATACAGAGTCTAAATTGTACATCAATTGGAAATTCATATTTTTTCAGTGCAAGGCAAGTATATACTCGAAATGTTTTTTCGTGAACGTACATACATCTCTAAAAGGGTTAGGGAGTGTGCACTATATAGACTTGAAGTGTGTATGGGTATTGTTAAAGTTAGGGCTTGTTGGAAGTGTGTATATAGGGGTTTTCAAAAGTGGGTTATGTGTACACGTAGATAGTTCATGTATCTAGTTGGTTGGCCCAAGTTTCATTTGGTGGCTCAGTCGAACAATGCAACCTTTGACTCTCTCCTGGCACTGTACTGGGGGAGCTGGTACCACAGGGCATTTTAGGCAATCAAATCACGCCGTCTGATGTGGAAAGACGCTCCTTTTTGGTGTCTTCAGATGGAAGTTGTTGATCCTACCTGTAGCCAAGAGTCTGGACCCACCAGCCAAGGCCCTGCTTTACCACTCTTGGCCAGCTCCCTTGACTTAACCCCCACGTGTATTATACCTCTCACTCTATTGTATATACATACACCCTAGCCTACCACTTTGACCTATTATATAATTATAGCTCACATAATAATTATAGCTTTTAGTAAAGGCACCAAGCCAGCCACAGCATCGACATTAGAAAGGTTACTGGGTGTGGATGTCTATGTTGTAGACTGCTATATAATATTACAAGTGCAGCTTATTAATATACAGTACCAACAGAAATGGTGTCTATGATAAAGAACCATGTACAACACAATAATGCAGTGAAAAAGGAACGGCTAAATCTTGGATTCTACAATAATGAAGAAAACAGAGTCACACGCACAAGACAGCATCATGGCAGCCACATGAACCCCTCTGGTCCTCTAAAGTAGTGTCTCTAGTGGATCTGGCGACTTGCTCCGTAGGGTGTCATCCCGGCCTGTGAGGCACCGCGGTTCGACCCCATCTGTAGCCCAATGATGTTCTTTCCTTCCTGCAACTTGCCGTCGCTAAACTCTCGCTTTTGCGCCTTCGACTCCTTTGGCCCCAGTGCTGGTCCACTGTAACCCTTTGACTGTGCCTAGGGTAAAAGATACAAACTGATTGATTTTGTGTGTATATTATGAATATGTGTTTGTCTATGATTGCCTAGTGTGTACTAATGTAAGATTGCAAAGTTCAAGCTACATCTGAAAATGATCATCTAACTACTGATTTATATACCTTTCTTCCAAGTGCATGGATCCCATTGACAACCTATATATAAGACCCAAAAAATGTCAAGTTGTAAGTTGATAGTAGCAGAATTCTGTTTGGTGGCTGACCTGAGGAACATTTGTGTTGTCGTAGAGATCCACAGTCTGGAAAACGTCATTCTTCTCCAGTCCATAGTCGTAGCAAGAGTTCAGAAACTGCCCAATGTTCTCCATCTGAGGCAGACACACATTATTATATTGACACACAATTTTCAGTTACTGGGAGAGCTAAACTCTGCTGCAATTTCCAATGAAATACCACACTAACTTGCATAATTATGTTACCTGCAAGCATGCCGTGCAAAATCACAACCGCATACGTAGCTACGCATGTTCCAGTAGCGAACTGCACTCTTACCATTGCGAACGGCGTCTTGAGTTTGTTAAGCTTTATCTTGTACCCGGGGTTCAGTTGCTCAATGGCCTTGCAGAGGTAGGTGCCGTCCTTCAACGCCTCCTGGAATGTTCCCTCGGGGAAAGGCTCTCCAACCACGGCCTGCAGCCACTCGCGCGCCTCAGCCTGGCGTACTGGGTCGTTCTTGCTATCTATCTGCGGAGGAGAAACAAAACGATTATCGAGAACCAGCTTCGCATGTGCGCTGCATCGCATTTACTCTGTCTTGTATTTCAGCAGTCATGCCGAAGCCTTTTGGACGGTCTGCCATTTTTGTTAGTAGATGTATCGCAGAGACGCTGCAAAAGAGTACAGTAGACGGCTCTAGGGAGACTGAAGAGTGCGAATTTCTTAGGCTCGTCGCGGCTTTTATTCTCGAGACGCACGCCTGCTGTCGCACGCATGCGCACAACCGAAGTGTGCTCACGTGATCACGACAACTAATAATTATGCGCATGCGCGGCCGGCCGAATACGAGGTATACATACATGACACATAGCATACAAACACAATTGAATAGGGGAATTTGATGATACAAGGTAGTACATGGGGTGATGGGGGGCTGGAGAGGGAGGCTAGAATTTGAAACCCCCTTCTGGGGTGCCGTTTGAGTTGACCACAAAGTTCATGGAGGAGCTGACGTGCTCTGGCCCCGCCACCTGTCCCTGGGGGAGGGCATCGGAGCTGGACACCGTTTCCTCCACCTCGAAGTACATGTCGATCAACTTGCCTGCCAGGCAGTAGATCTGCTCGTTCTCGTGGCTCTGAAGATCTTCAATCTTACTCAGACCTGGGTGCAGAATGGATACAATACACACAGGAACCAAATCCTCTGGAATGAAGGACACATCTCCATAAAGGACACCACATACGCACGCATGTGATCGGTACATGCGCAGTTGGTTGATCGAGCTAGCTAAGCTCTGACCTAGATGTACTACAGGTGCACATGCCATAGGGTACAACAGCAGCAACTTCAGATCATCTCTGTATGAAGGATTTAAAGGATGTCAACCCAAATAAAGACATGCTGTGCCAGTTTCCCTTATTCAGAAGGTTAAAAGATTTCCAAATCAAGTGTCCTCTATTCAGAGTGTCCATTATTGAACTATACAAACACAGTCTTTCTAGTTACTGAATGGCCAGAGACTCAGAGTCCAATATGACATACTGCGTGAATCTGTCTGTGTGGGTATATAATATTCGTGTACCCATGTTTGAATCTCGTACCTCCACAGACATTACAACAGACATTCTTCTCCGGACAACGCAGCCAGCGATGCCCGAATCTTCCCACAGACACCTTTTAAAGCTCTATTTGTGGAGGATTGAGAGTTCGGTGGTCTGTGGTTATTGAGATATCCGCCTTCTCCTGCCAAGGATCCCACATTCCGTTCATTCCTCTCAATCACACGGGACGCCTTTCACAGCATAGGAACGAACACCGAGGCTAATCAAATATGCCCGCATTTGCCCAAACAAGGACCAGATATCTCGCAGTGGAAGAGCCTGCCTTTTTGAGAGTTGGCAGCTGACCAAGGATTGGTATGAGAGCTGGCTGACACTCTCGCTCAAAGTCAGCTCTACATCTCTACTCCGGACCGGCCTACACACTGACACACTGGACAACTGCCTTCTTTTTGCCTTATACAGTAGTCATTGGGACTTTAGCTTGAGGGTGGTATATATAACTTTGTCCACCTTCTATCAATGGTATAGACTTTGTATTGCTGATAGATAAGGGATGCTAGTGGTTTAAACTACACAGACCCAGAGGTCGACTCTCTAAGCTCTGTACACATGTATACAGAGGATATGCAGAGGAATAAATCTTAAATGCACCAGATTTGGCGATAGCAGGTGCAACACAAGTCGAGGATTTAGCACGAGTTGAGCATTATCATACCAGTTATCCACAGACAGTCTTTCCAGTAACATATGTATGCGTACGCAGTGTTGGGCAGAATACAAACTAAATTGAAGCAGCAACACATAGTGTCTTACCGTAGGCCTCTTCAATCAGTAACGAGTAGGGGTTGACCGCTCCCCCGGCGTCGATCTGTCCAACCTTCAGAAAGTTCTCCAGTCCCTCGAGAGTGATGGTGACAATCCTGGAGTCTTGCACCGTGAGCATGTCACACAGTGGCTTGATACAACCAATACTAGCCAGATATCTGGGGGAGGAGAGAGGAAAGAGATGGAGAAATAGAGTCGAAATCAATTCCCTATATATATACCCCCAGCAAAATAGGGTCTAGTCTGCTGTAGCCACAGCTGCCCTTGGCATGCAAGCTGTGAACATGACATTTTAGTCTAAACACACTACGAATAAAGCTCAAAAAGGACACTTGTTTCAATCTGATGGTTAATGTATCATTTGGCGCATATTATAAAAGTCTGTTGTCCCATGCATGTGCATTATTTGGAGTCTCCACGTGTGCATGCACGAAAGTCTTACAGTGCAATGGCCTAAGGTTTGTACGTACGTACATAGTAACAATGAGCTCTTTTTGTATAGCTAATTCAGGTACAGTGGAGTCTCATTATAAAGAACACACTTAGTACGAAATTCTGGATACTACAAACACACCCTCGGAGCCTAGCCCCATAGAACACTGTACATTTTCACCACACTTATGACAAAGTTCCCCACACCGTGAACAAATTCTTTAGGTCCCCAGCAATTCATAACGAGACTCCACTGTAGTGTATGTTTGCTCTTTAGGTTGCAATGCCCTTTTAAGGTAGTGTGAGGACCTGATCTGTTGGCGAGTTCCACCAGATGTGGCGTTGAGAATGGCCCACGCTGCCTCTTTCCTGGTCTTGAACACTGAGCCGGAGTTCATGATGTCTATCAGCAGGGGAAACACATTGCAGTCTATTACTGCCTGTGGGGAGGGAGCGAGGGGGAAACAGGTAGGGGGAGGGGGGCGAAGGAGATTTCCTATTTCAGAGCATCCAACGTCCTTGTTAGAGAGGTGTCCTTATTTCAGGGGTTAAAACAGCATCCAACAACTGTAAGATGTCGCCTTACATGGAGAGGTGTCTGTATCTCAGGGGTTAAAATTGCATCCAAGAACTGTTCTTGGGGAGAGAAGGTGTCCTTATTAGAGAGGTGTCCTTATTTCGGATTGCATCCAAGAACTGCTCTTGGAGAGAGAGAAGGTGTCCTTATTAGAGAGGTGTCCTCATTTCAGATTGCATCCAAGAACTGCTCTTGGAGAGAGAGAAGGTGTCCTTATTAGAGAGGTGTCCTCATTTCAGGGATGTCATTAGAGAAGAGGTCCACTATACTCGTGCTAACAGAGCCATTAAATGTTGGCGGTGATCCTCGTTGTCAGGGTCTAGTACATTGCACTCGCTCAATCTGTACAGTACATATACCTGAATCTGAACTCTGTTGCCAGCAGTGATATTTGAGATGGCCCAGCAAGCCTCTTTCCTCAGGTTCTCGTGAGGCGTGGCCAGAATTGTTATCAGAGATGGCAGCACTGAGCAGTTTATCACTACCTGAGTGGCAGGTTTTGTAATCTCAACAGCAAACATGGGTGTACTGCAATAAACTACGCCAAAAATTATAACGTAGGTAATATAGGTCAGCTACCACACACCCAAATTTACAATACAAAGTACCCAGACATCACCTAGTACAGATCATAAGTCTCAAACCTAAAAAAAGTGGTTGGGGTGCCAAAATCCAAGGTGCATACAAGTCTCAAATGCATATCAAGGCATTCAAACTTTACTTCAATCTGTGAAAATTTTAGCTCTATGCTGAATAGAATATTTGCCATTTCGTGTAAAAATCACGGTACATGCTACATAACAGCCAAATTTTCGCCAATGTTCAACCTATATAATTATGACAACCACCGCCATTTCCACTTACACCGTACCTCATGTGTCATTTCCACTTACACACACACACACACACACACACACATGCACACACGCACGCACGCACGTGGGGTGACCCGACCTGCGTCTGCACGTCGTCTCCAGTCAGAATGTTCCCCACTGCCCTCAGAGCTGGAGTCACCACGCTCCTCTCGTGGTGCAGCATCAGCTCGACCAGTCGGTTCACGAGGCCTCCGTCCACGATCCGCTGTATCCGGGAGTCCGGCCCGTCGGCAATGAAGGCCGCGGTCCAGCAGGAATGACAGAGTACGTCTGGGTCCGTGTGGTAGAGCAGTCTCGCCAGGACTGGGACACACGTCAACGTCTGGAGGGAGATATGTATGTACGTAGGGTAATGGGCTATTCACAGTAAGCTGCATGTAGTGTATAGAAATGGTCCTACAGCTCTCTCCTACATATGTTCGTATGTATATATACCTGAACTGTGGTGGTTATCCCCTATCTAAGGACACCCCTGTAATTACGTATGTTCAGTCCAGTGGTCAAATATACATTACACACAAGCTCCCCAAATGAGTCGATGGCAATAAAAAAAGTATTGACAGTCGTCTCACAGCTACTCTCGTGATGTGCGGAGCAAAAAGTACAGGCAATTTATAGAAAATGGATTTTCAGGGCTCTACACAGCCAAAATTTGTCACAAACACAAGTAATCCCTGATTTATGCCAACATGGCAGGCAAGGGTTTGCCAACTGTATATACCCTTTAGTTATTAATTTGTTTGTGTGCTTGGCAAGTAGAACTGAGTTATAGGAGCCCAGAAATGCAATCAAGCCAGATCATAAACCTATTATGCTTCAACACCAGGTGTCCCATCCACAGACTGGACTCACTACATCAGAAGGAGGCTCGGGGTTTTTGCCTCGACAGAGGTTGGACAGCGTCCACGCCGCGTTCCTCAGGACAGTCAGGTTTAGATCGGGCACGAGCAGGAGCTTCAGCAGGTGCGGCATTATGGCTGAACCCAGGATTACATCGCGACACTCTGGACTATCTCCTGCTATGTTCCCCAGTGCCCAAACTGCCTGTATGGGGTGTAGAGGAAGGGGGGGGGAGTAGATAGTTAGAATGAAGGAGGAAGAAAGGGAGTGAAAGGAAGGAGAGGAAAAGAGCAGAGGGGAAGAAAGGGGAAAGGCAGTGGAAGTGAAAGGTGTTGGGTGTGGTGGTGAACAGGGTTAGGCGGAGTTTACTGTACAGCTTAAGGGTTGTTATCATAAGGCACGGAAAATAGCCATAGACGAGGAAAGAAATCTAAAAATCAAGGTGTTCTAAAGAGAGAGAGAGAGAGAGGCTCACTTGCTCGAGGACAAATTCATGTTGTGAGGTGAGGAGTTTGACCAGGTGAGGGACGGCTCCGCAGCCAATGACAGTTCTGGTCTGGAGGGAGGAGCCTGAGGCGATGTTGGTCAGCACCCACGCTGCTTCGAACTGGAGAGGAAGAGAAGGGGAAGATGGAAGTGGGGACAGGGTTAGGAGGAGTTTGCTGTACTGCACCAAAAAAAAGTGATGTGAAATAATGTATCACAATGCTATATATCATACTGCATGCACTACTATTAATTTACATCCCCACCCACAATTGTAAGAGTATGTGTGCGCAAGTGATAAGAGCTATTGAGCCGCACTGTTGGTTGAAAGAGATCACAAAGGAGAAATTAAACTACAGGTACAGGGCAGCTTACGACCAAGGGGTGCCGTTCTATGTATATACGTAGACTACACTACCCCAGCCTCGATCTATCTAGGTTCCGTTTATGGCCATCCACGAATTTCGCTTGTGAGTGATACGGAGAGTACACTCTGGCTCCACCCATTCAGGGGGCCTACGTGCATGCGCAATACTCCGCCGTTTGATGACGGGAGCTGCCCCAGTTAACTGATAGTGTCCGTAGCTCAGAAGACCAGACAAGTGAGGTTCTAATAGTTTTAGTGAGGTTCTAATTGTTTTAGTCAACCGCCCGTACAATATAGGGTTATGGTTCATACGTACCTGAAGAGAAGGGTTATCAAATGTCAATATTTCCACTACACGAGGAACGCATCCTGTATCTATGACTTCTTGGATTGGAGGACTTTGGCCTTGGTTTCGAGGGTGGGAGAGAGAGAGAGAGAGGGGAGAAAAGGAGGGGAAGAAAGAGAGAATGGGAGGAGGGAAAGAGAGAAGAGAAAATAGGTGGGGGCAGGGAAGTGAGGAAGAGTGATGAAGATAGAGTAGGAGGGGGAGAGATGGACTAGGAAGGGAGAGAGACAAAAGGAGGGTACATAGGTGACACAGGAAAGTCAAAATCGGTGAGAGAAAGGACTGCAAGCGAGGTACATAGAGCTGGCCTATAATTATACATACATACATGTACTACAGCACCTCTAGCCATGGTGAAAGATGCAGGAGGCAGTGCAAACATACACACACACACATAACACGTAGTACCTACAAGGTCCAGTGGCAGCTGAGGAGTGTGACTCACCAAATTTCGAGAGGGCTTTCCTGAAGCGAGCCAGTGCGGCCAGCTGCTGCTCTGTCTCATTGGCGAACAGTGCCCTTGCCACCTCAGTGAACGGTGTCCCCTGCATCCCAATGTATGGCACAAGACTGACATAAATCAAGACTGAATACAGTGGAACCCCCTTTCCAAGGACACCCCTGAAACGAGGACACCTCAGTTGCTAATCAGAATGCCTCTTTTCTTCCACGAACAGTTCATGCAACCCCTCACACATCTCTTATTTGGAAACTTTCTTCTGTTCAATTTACGTCAGGATTGGAGGGGTTCCACTATATTATTGTATAAACTATTGCATAACATGTGGCTTAATACAAAAATGACCAGCTGATGTACATACATAATCATAGATAGGACTCTTAGTTAGGTATATACATTATACCTAGTCCAACTATGAAAATTGTGCATAACAGCCACACCATTTCTACCTCTGGAAAGGTTGCGTTTTCTGCTTCCAATTCGTCCACGTCTGTGAGGTTTCTTCTCTTGGAATACTGTGAAGAGACACACAAGTACAGAAAGACAAACGCATGCAGCGGAAATGACGAGGTTCAGCCTCGAAACTGGAGGGCCGAACGCACCTGCTCTTCTCTCCTGGACCGTCTCAGCTGCACTCCTTCCTCTTCCCTCCTTCTCCGCACCTCACTGACGTCCAGGCCCTTAGTCTTGTACGACTTGAGCCGATTTTCTGCTGGACCTTTCGAGGCCATCTTCACCACCAAGCAGCGGCGTGGACTCCGTACACTATTAGAGACCATATCCGTTTACGCGTCCGCACACTCTCTCCGGAATACTTCCGTATTCTTCCGTATACCCTATAGTTACAGCTGGCTGGAAGGAGAATATGCAGCAGAGTGTATGCGACTGGTTGGAGGCGAGGAAGGGAGTAAAGGTGCAGCAGAACTGGGTGGAGGCCTGTCTGGAATGGATAGAACAGGAGGAGGCAAGAAATAATTGCATGTCCATTCCACTAAGGGGGGGCGTCCATTGTGGTTGAAGTTTTCAGCAATTTCATAATGCTACTTTCATTCTAATTTTTCCCTACTGGGTAAGGGAGGAAGGTTGGTCCCCACATGAATGTTTTAAGCCAATTTGCTGAATATGAAACTCTTTCTTGGAGCATAGTGGAACCCCTGTAATCCCAAGTGGGGCAGGAGAAAGTAATGATGCGTCCTTATCTAAGGGGTTAAATAGCATGCAATAAACTGTCCTTAAGGAAAGAGAAGGTGTCCATATTAGTGAGGTGTCATCTAATCTCAGGGGTTAAAGTAGCATGCAAGAAAGATCTGTTCTTGGGGAAGGAAAGGTTGTCAGTAAAAGAGAGTGGCCTTTATTCACGTGCTCCACTGTGTTCTGCTATTATATATAGGGCGGTGGTGTTCCGATGGCTAGTTTGAGAGAGATGGTCTACGGGCAGTTGCTGCATGCGGACCTCAGGGATGTAGTGGTCCAGCCTTGCATACCAGCCTCTGTTCCACAACAACAGACTACTACCATCACCGGACACTTCATCGTTCAGGTGTATACCCACAATGAGGAAGTGCTGGACTGCTAGTAGCCTTTATATAATACCCAGATGGAGTATGCTCTACTACTGAAGGGCCGCAAATGCTGTTCTATATTTTTTTGCCATCACATCATACTGTGTTTTTGCAAATTCATGGCTGCGGTATTAAGTGCCTGGGAAAGAATGCACTTAGGTGATAAAGTACATCATAGTAAATTTCCGTGTGTTGGTCTAGTAAATGCGTGTATATATTTGTTGCAGGTTGATTCGCTCGTTGATGTGGGAGCTGCTGCCTATGCACAGCTCCAGAAGATAAAGGGCCAGTCACTTGATGATGTAGACACCAAGAAAAATGTGTGTATCTAGAAGTACAGGTCTCAACCCCTGTAATCAGAAGCTAATTATTGCCTCTTGTCCCATATTTACCTCAGTTTGAGCCCAAGCCAACTCGCCTGCTGCTTCTCTCGCTGACTGATGGAGTAACAGACTTTCAAGCCATGGAGTACCACCCCATACCCCAGCTGACTACTGATCTTACCCCGGGAGCCAAGGTGAGAGTTTTTTTTCCCACTCGCCAAAGACTGTACTCAATTCTTCCATCAGCATTTTTTTAAATGAAGAACTAAGTTTAAACTGATGAAATATTGCTCAGTATAATATATTTCTCTGTAGCATAACCTTCCAGGGAGAAAAAAGTGTGAAAATTGCGGTTTATTCTTGATGAAAATTATAGGCAGGAACCAGGACAAGGAGAAAGTCCTGATTTGAGAGTCATCTGCAAAAAATTAACCCAAGAACGTGGACAAGTAGTCTTAAAGCTTTTACACAATCACCGAACTTTCTATGTACCACAACACTTTTGCTGCTATACGCATGAAAATAAGATAATATTATGTTGTCTGTATTTGTGCTGCAGTTGGTGTTACGAGGAACCATAGGTTGCCGACTGGGGACACTGCTCCTGAGTGGTGACCAGGTGGAGCTACTGGGGGGAGGAGTTGAGTCACTGGCCGGGATCAACCGGCAGTCCAGAGTCCTAGCCAGAGCTCTGTGAGCATCTCCCCTCTTTTGAGCATTCACATTCACCTTGCATATAGTCGTAACTCTAGCTTCTCTTCCTCCTCTACTTTTATGTGAACTCAATTCACCTTTTTAGTGGGAAAGTTTTTGGAGGATAAAACTTTCCTGAATCAGTACCAAAAAATCTGTATAATTAAGAGTTCGTTTCCAGTACTTTTCTTTATTTTTGTGGAGGAAAACATCTACTTATCGGTAAAGAATAAGGATAAACTTGCATGGATTGCTTTTCCAGAGTATAGGTTGTCCCTGGCGGATGTGCACACTCTCACTAAAACAGCAAATAATTGCTAAACATTGGTATGAATGGTGATTGCAGGAATGATGAATCTCTGGCTGGAGAGGGAGGTACTACAGAGAGTGGGCCACCTCCTACAACTGGGTCTAGCTCCGCCGGACCTCCTGCCAGGTCTACTGGGAATGAGCAGTTACAGGAAGACAATGGCAAGATATGCAATTCCACCATGCTTACTAGAACGCATTTTTCTGCGAGCGAACGCCAGAATGAAAATTCAGTGGATTTACATGTATTGTAGGGTACCCGTAAAGCCTTACTGAATGACAATACCTACCAGTCAGATAGTTATTCTACAGGATAATCATGCAATTGACTAGCGTAAGCTTGCTTTGCTAACCAATTGAATGAGGACACAGTGCATACAGCTATGCCAGTCGGAAAGCAGAAAGCAGCATTTGCCTACAGTTTGTTGCCTGTATTGAGCATAAGCAGTCGGATATTGTTATGCATGAGCTGTGTCTCCCTCTGTCTGTTTAGCAGAGGCAGGACCAGGGACTGGGATGGAGGAGATTGGTGATCTTGATCTTGAGAACTTCGAAGAGTTTGAAGACAATGTGGACCAACAGTCGGTGCTGCTACAGGACTGCCAGGAGCAGTGGCCTGATGATGATGATGTTGGATTCTCACCTCTCGATACCAGCATGGAGGACGCGGGAGAGGAAAGAGAAGGAGAGTTTGAGATCCGAGAGCAAGAGGGTGCATTGGCAGCACAGTCTGGCGATCCATATTCTTCCTTTCAGTCGAGAACCACCGGGCAAAAGCGACGATATACTTCTTCTTTCTCTGGTGAAACTCCCGCGATTATTCTTCTGGGAGATACGAGGAAAGCGCCGACATGCCTGGTCCTTCTGGGCTTGGGATGTATACAGGCAAGAGAAGTAAAGTACAGAGACACAGAGAAGGCCGCATAACTGGGGGAAATGCATTGATGGAGGTTGACAGAGTGGATATGAGAGCAAGTGATAACTATGGTGCTGCTAGAGATTGGAGAGAAGCAGATAGGGAAATGTCATCTGGAAATTTCTCAAGAAGTGGGAGTGCAGGCTTGAATGATTCCAGTGGTAGTGTGTCAAGGAAGACATGTTCTGTAGCTGCAGTTAGACCATTGAACACTGCCGTGGGGGCCAAAGGGAGAGGAGGGGAAGGAGGGAGAGGAGGAGGGAGAGGGAAAAGAAGGGCTAGTGTGACAGCGTGTCCTGAGCCCAGTTTGGAGAGAGGTGGTTCAACTGCAGGAGACAGTGGTGGCAGTGCTGATGGTGTTTCTACAGTTCAGAGTATTTCAGAGGTGGCTGATGTGTGGACAAATAGGCCTCTTGTCAGAGTCGAGGTCAGTCTGTTTTACTTAACACACAGCGTGAGGTTGACTTATGGAGTCTTCATTCAATAGAACCCTTCCTTCTGAATAGGTAACGTTGGCCTTTTAAGTGGTAGGATGTACTTCATATTGAAGTGATTCAGTGTAATACTTTACGTGTGCACGTACGACAGGCTCGGTTTGTTAGAGTGACTAGTAAGCTGACACCGGCAGCTGGTCGCTGGACTGTGGCTGTTGTCTTGGAAGATTCAGTGGTGCTCAACTGAATGTCCAACTCAGCAATGAGGTATGGAATGTACATACACATTAAACTCTGAATAAGAGACACCTTGGGGATGTCCTGTATAATATTCAGGGTTGTCCAGTATTAGAGAGAAACATTAAGAGAACGAAATATACGCCGTAGAACAACGATTTGGAGTATAACATTGGTTCCACTGTTACAAATTTCATCTTGTTGTGCCAAAGTATTGCGCATTAAGCTTTGTGCATTGCGCGTAAATACAGCGTAACGCAATAAATTGGGCCTCAAAGAGTTGTTAAACTTATTAGTGCAGAATTCAAAGATGAGGGTCACAGGTGTACGCAAACACCTGCAAAAACCTTTATCCTATGTAATAGCCAAAAAGGAACACTTCAAGGGCAGTACATAATACGAACAAGTTCACATGCAAAGATGAGTTTAAGCGTCCTTTTGAAGTGAACCCAATTTGCCTCAGGTGGCTTTGACTGCATCGTGCCGCTACTAATTGAGAGGCTGATTAATCAGAAGACTGGCACCAGCATCAGGAGTTATATAGTGTTACCATGGCAGTCTGTTTGTCACCGATAGCTATACGCAGTTCCCTATTGTTGTGCCAGTGTTTGCTGGAATATAATATACGGGGTGGCCATTTTCTGTCATTCGAGCCAATACGTGTGCAACGGCGTATTACGTGTCGTTTGTCGTCCATTTGATGCAGATTTGTAGCTATTAGTGTATAGTGTTGGTAATAGCTGGCAAGAGTGAACAGTTGAGAATTGACTGTTGTGTAGCTGCTAGTAATCTGCTGTTTTTTGTTGCAGGTTTTGGAGAAACTGATTGGCTTTACTGCACAGGAGTTTGTGGAGGTATTATTATTGAGACAAGTGCACCGATTTACGTATGTTCTCTCATCCATGAATGTAGGGTTTTGGGTAGAAATTAAACTTGTTAATATCTATGTTGTCTTTGGTCTGTAGCATATTCAGCCGAACAAGAGAGATCCAGTAATCAGGGCCAGAGGCAGCGAGGTATAATGAAATTATGTAGAAGGAAATAAGAAAACGAAAGAAAGAGAGATGAGGGGGAGAAATAGAAAAGAGATTCAGTAAAGATCCCCATGGTATCAATTGCACAGTGTTATTTGTTAAAACTTTAGCCAATGTGACTACACCTTAGACTTCCGGATTGGTAGACAGAAGGTGTGCGAGGTCGTCTTACAAAACAAAATGATGTCAGCCAATAAACAAACAAGTATCGTCTTATGCACACGTGATACAAACAGAAAGGCACACTTTAAGCGCGGGGGACATTCACAACAGCGTTTACTATGGTGTATATAGCATACATTGTTCTACTGTCTTCTTTCCCATCTCCCATTTTCTCTCTTTTGCCGTCTCCTCTCCATCACTTCTGTGTTAATACAGGGGTTCAAGCATTGCCAGTCTCACTTGGCTACGCTGAACTGCGTCATGGAGATCAGGAAACCACCAATGTTTGGTGACCACCCTACAGTCGAGAGACTATTAGATACAGAGTAGCCTTTTTACCATAATCTATTATTGTACGTATACAGTCAAAGGGTGAAAATGTGGAAGTCGTGCAGGGCCGTAATCTCATAGTCGGCGGAACTAATTTCCGGGCGTGTTATCGTTTACAAGCCCAAAACACTGAGCTCCAGTGCTGCAGTGAAGAAAACACAGTCGCGCCCGCCTCTCGTCTTCAGAAAAGCTGCCTGCTAGCAGTTTGTCTGGGTGGCTGAGCGCGTGGGATCCGCCTGCACACGGCACCGGCGGTGGCGAGACACTCCCTGCGTGACCCGGACGAGCCAGCTGCCTGATATCATCTCACATCGCTAGTCAAGTCGGATACTCCCCTCGAGTTGATATTGAGCGGATTCCCACCACTCTTGTCCCTGCTGCCGAAACTGGTTCACAAAAGCTACAGTCTGCAGCCGTAGCTAGAACTGGAGTGATCGATCGGCGGCGCCAGCAAAAGATGGATTGATTGAAAGCTGCAATAGCTACACACGAATCCACGACTGAAGCGGTGGACGGTGCTAGGATCTATTAGTGTTGGGCACCCATTCTGTAGTGCAGTAGCTATAGCTGCTGGGGAGATGGCCAGACGAGTAGCGAGGGAAGAATACGAGCACCTGTGCTGGATGATAAAGAAGTGGAACCGTGATAGATTGGAACTTTTTGAGATCACCATGCCTAACGAGGTAACCTCCACATAGTCTAGTAATACAGCCTTCGGCAGTATCGTATGCGTGCATATTACCAGCCTTCAGTAGTGCCGCTTATTACCAGCTTTCTCTGTGCTTAGCTATTATCTGAGCTTCATGCAGTTCGTGTTACACGCTGCGTTTTTTTTTGAAGACTCCTGAGCCTCCTGTCTGTCTGAGTAAATATTTCCCACAGTGTGAGAAGATCTTTCAGAACAGCGCATAGTACTGTAGATGTTTCTGCATTTTAATGTCTCATGCAGATGCATCTGGACTGCACTTGAAGATTCAGCGTTCGTAAATGTATTGGCGGTGGTATGTAGAGTGTTCCACGTGGGGCGTATGTCTGTCTCGTTGTATGACTGTATTATAATAATGGACTGCTAACACTTAGACGTACCTGGAGAAGATGGGTGCACATGACACAGAGTAGAGTGCATGATCTTGTGGGTGGGCCAGAGGGGAAGGCTGAGCAACATGATATGTTTACTGGCCTATGAAGTCACCTGTACTTGGCGGGTGCAGGAAAATGACTCAGTCCTGGCCACACACAATTGCTCACACTTTTCACACACTTGCATCACACACACCTTTCGTCTGTTCGCTTTTGTGTTGCCCTCTTTACTCTTCCGCCCTCCTCTCTCTTACTTTTCACATCCCAACCCCTCTCTCTCCCTTTCCCCTTTCCCCTCCCTCCCTCCCTCCCTCCCTCCCTCCCTCTTCCTCTCACTCCAAATCCCGCGCTCCCATCTCTCTCAGAACCTCGAGTTCGAAGGGATCATGAGGTTCTATTTCCAGAACAACACCAAAGAAATGGAGCAGAAAGTGGCCACCAAATGTATCAGAGTCTCGAACACGGCCAACACCGACAGCGTCATCGAAGCCTTGGTTCAGAAATTTCGACCAGACCTCAGAATGCTGTCCAGTCACTCGTCCTACGCTCTCTATGAAGTACATTCAAACGAGGGTAAGAGTATATAGACCATAACTGAACACTATACAGCGGAGCCTATCTACCAATTGGACAGAAGAAAGTGTCAGTATATTCTTTATTTCTGTGGTTGATGAACTGATCTTGGAGAAAGAGTAGGTGTCAGAATAAGTGCGCGTGTCCTCATTTCAGGGATGTCATTACGGAGGGGCTCCACTGTATATAGCAATGTGGTGTAAGACTATAAAATTGTATCGGTGTACCCTCAGACTGTATTTACACTATCTCGTTAGTGTAGAGACTCAGGGGCTATGATAACTTTAGCCACAAAACCTGGCTCAAAGCTGTAATTTGCTCTTTTGATCATGGAGAGGCTGTTTAGCTTTTGGTGCTCCCGCTATGCTGTGATCAACCAGACATGTATCCCATCTTCCAAGTACTCTAGCTTGCCCGTCTAACGAGGAAGTAATGAATAAGTAATGAATGGCTGTATTGTGTTGGAACCCACTTCCATCTGTCGATCGAAAAGACCAACAAAATAAACTCTTGTGTTGTTCTTCATTAGCTGAGGAAAGGAAAACTGATGTCCTTTAACTTATAGCAAGAAACTTTTGAGAGATACATTTTCGAGATACTGCTATAAAAAATGTCCCGCCCGCTAAATTTTTGTAGATGGTTCACACAAACAGCGAACTAAATTTTACGTTTCTCACTACACCCCCTGTAATATAGCCAGCGATTGTTGTTATGTATCCTGCACAAAAAGGTTTAGTTGCCTTGGCAACCGCCACTACCCAGACACCGCTATCAGAGTCCAGCTGGTGAAGCCCTACTATTGACTGATATAGTATTGTTATTGCAAGTCTCTGGGAAACGGTAAACGTGAATACACACAAAGTATTGAAACTCCTATGAAGATACCACTGAGTTATGTAACAGGAAGACACGGATGTGTATGTGTATATTTCCCCGCTGAGGTTTCTTCCAACTTGCTCGGCGTGCGTGACATGCTGATAATTGATAGATTCTGGCGAAGATGTAAGTATAACCGTCGTATGTGTGACACGAATTTAGAAACCTATCTTATTTCATTATACGATACACGTATTTCGCCTCTGAGGCTTTTTAGCATGATTGATTATTAAATCGAGGTTTCCAGTGAAGAAAGCCATCCGCGCAGATGTTTACGTGCTTATGAACCCCTCCTTCTAAAGTTTCAATTACGCTCTCATTGTTAATTTGGTCAGTAGAGTATAACAACTTGTACGTATTTCGATGGTTTTTCTTTTGCTTGGTAGGTGTTAGCGTAACAATATCCCTAGACCCCTGCTTAGTTTGGTCAGATACTGGGGTTAGTTTGTACAGAGTGATCTGGTCCATTGGCTGGTGCTTGAGCTGATGGGGACTCAATCACTTGGTAATGATGTATCCCGCTATCTATGAATAGCCAATATTATGCTCTCAGATTAACTGTTTGTATAATACCGTTAATGGCAGTTCAGCTATACGGTGGAACCTCACTATTCCGGCCGCTCAGGGACCTGCAAATGTGGCTGGATAAGTCAGTGAGGATTGCATTTCAGGACAGGTTTACTATGAGAAGCATACATAGGTTGATCAATCCGTGGCAAAACCACAGGCTTTAGCAAAGTGGCTGCATTTCAGTATTAGCAAGATTCTACGAACTAGGTTTTAGGTCCACAGTGATCCGTGTACGCCAAAGAGAATGTTGAAGATCAAAAAGTGGTGGTTCTTAGAAACCTAGCTTCTTAGCGCAGTACTTAGTTGTCTGAGCTACCAAGGAATCTGACTGGAGGGAGTGGAGAGCAAAATATCCCCCTGCGTTCATTTCGCCCTGTGTACACACATAGCTATGCAGTGACAGACAGAATTGCGCAACCGTAGACTTGCACGTGGCGTGTCGGTTATTTTAGAAGGTCTGTGAGTGAGATTTCTCCCAGTCTGTGAGTGCTAAGGAATGTCAAGAGTTGTATCTCCCACACTCTATTAGCTGGTCCCTTGGGCCAACTTTCCACCCCTTGCCACTGCCACTCTACCATCATAATAATGTGATACCATGTTATGCATGATAATCAGCTTACAGCAGACCGGAAGATAGAATGAGACAGAACCAGTCTTAGTCGAGTGTCAAATCTACCATAGGGGCAGGTATAGCGACGGTGTACTAGTTGTACTAGTTGCGTACTACAACTCCAAAGACTAAAGAAGATACAGAGTTTCCCTTCCATCTACCAGGTTAATTACGTACTACGTATCCCTAGACGAAAGGTGGTACTTTCCCATTCTCTCTTCTGGGCTGCGTACTCCGTGAGATAATTTAACGTACAGGCCAACTAGGGATTTGCCATATCGCTTTGTACCTACACCCCTCTCTCTGTGGCCCATGTTGAAATCCAGTTTATGGCGACTTCAAACAGCTCAGTAGCCTAACCACCCTCCCCAGTTTGGAAACTACCGTTTACTCTGTTAACAAGTTACGCAACGCAAACTGGTTTAAGACAGGGTCGGGATACACTGCTACAATGCCACTGAAGCCAACCGTGTTGGTGAAGCAAACTTGTCTAGTAACACGAGTTTTTTTAAAGAACGGCCCACTGCATGTTTGTGTACAGCACGGGTAATACGGCTGCGATGAGTAATTGCAAGAGGCGTGACAGGAATCGAATCGGTATGCCTCAGTTTACTCTGTGAAACCGGAGACACTTTGTTTCTGCCGGCAGGTATCCATTAAGTTATGTTCTGCCGAGTGCAGGGCCAAAGAGCCTTGGCTGGGTTGAGTGTGTGTTATACTAACCATCTATATGCTGTGACCAAGAGATGTGTTGATTTTGGCCTTACATGTCATCCAAAGCGGTGTTTTGCTCAACCCTGAAATTATCGACGATTGAGGTTTGGAAGTAGGCCGTACAATAATATACCACTTGGCCTGTGGTCGCAAATATGCATAGCCTATTAGTGAAAGATGCACGTTGGAATTTGTACTGTAAACAGTGCAGCACGATGCGTATGTTGTGTACTCATGTTGTAAGTAATGTGCTAGAGCTGTCGAAATGACGTGTACCAAGTTGCACTTGCTCATGTAAACGAATGTAAATAATGTACAATGTGTACAGTTGTTCATGTAAATGAGTACAACATGTACAAGCTCTGTTGATGTGAGAAATCAGCGACATGTTTTCCGGATGTATGTCATGTATTTGCTACTGTAAATCATGTACACACGCCTCACACATGCATTTGTCACTACATGTTTTGCTGTACCAGATGTGTTTCAGCTGCATGTGAAGGTCCATATGTATGTACCCCTGTTAATGCATAACAAATGCTTGTATATTTTTTACAGACCTCTGTAATACTAATTGACCACGCACCCAGAACACTGTGTCGAGCTAGAACAAAATGTACAAGAGTGAATGTAATGTAGGTGACTGCCTTACCACACAGACAGCCAAACTGTAAACATATCTACAACTGTACATAATATGCACGTCACTACTTGTTGAGTATGTGAGATGTGGAAGAGTGTGTGTTGACTGAAGGGATTGTGGGTAGGTGTGTGTGCCAGGTGAACTAATCATGAAGCCTTTACCAATAATTTGACGTCCACGGATTCACTGGCCCCACGTCACGTTGCAACCACATTCATCTACCACTGCATACAATAGTTCACATCATACACTGTCTTCAGCTACTGTACGACTCCATAGTGTAGTTTCATGCACATTGTATGCCGCTGCTGTAGTAATTTGTGACTTGATGTGAGAATTTTTGCAACATGCCTGGCATGCTGTTTTTTGAAAGTGGGATGTCAAGTTATCTATGGTTAAACTTTTACTACAAAGCCGTAACCCATCTGTAACATGTGGGGTAATCCAACACACTTGTAATTTTAGTGTACATGTGAACACTATAGAATACATGATTTAGGTGCAATGTATATACAAGCTGCAGCTGCTACACATGTAATACATAAACTGTCTACTTTACTTCGCAGTCCTTTCTCACTTCAACTTGATTTCTCTCCTTGTCACACATACAAGCAACTGGTTTCTGTGGCATAGCGCAGTTTGTGGTTTTCTTCCTTTGCCTCGACTCTCGCATGCTATCTACTACTGTAGCCAGACTCGTCCATGAGCTACGTACCAGCGGGAAACCACGAGTGAACGCTGTTGCATTGTATTTCAGACTTTGAGCCCAGCCTGCTGAGTTGCCCTGGTAGCTCAGGTGGTAGAGCACTCGTCTAGAGAACAGAGTGTCGTGGGTTCGAGTCCCACTTAGTCACAAAAAAAATTAAAAAGTAAAAAGTGACCCAGTTACTCAACAAAAGTAAAAAGTGTCTTCCTAGGTGTAGTTGAATTGTTTGATGTGCACTTGCGTTGTGTTTACTTCATCCAACAGAAGAGCGGCGAATGGAGAGTGATGAGTATCCACTGATGGTACAGCTGGGATGGGTGAATGGAGAGAAAGAAGGAAGATTTCTTCTCCGACTGGAGGCCGACGGCGGAGGAAGGAAGGGGGACAACCGGAACACTGCCAACAAGCGGCCGGTGAAAAGGAGCAAGAAGGTGAAGAGGGAGAGAGAGGGAATAGTCCCTGAAGACATAGAGGGGAAGGGAAGGATAGCTCGGTCGCTGTACAATGTCATGCCAGAGTCAAAATTCACACGGAGCATCACGAAAAGGAACGAGAGAAATGGTCGGTTGCAAGGTCGCGATGCTCCGGAGGATACTCTGCGGGTGTACGCAGATTCCCTTCTACCCAACGGGCCCTGCAAGTCGCTGCTGATATCTGCCAACGATACGTGCGCTCAAGTGGTGAAAAGTTCGCTGGACAAGTACGGTATCACGGAGGACCCGAGCGAGTTCTGTCTCGTGCAGGTCGTGATTCCGTCCGGGCGAGCCAGCGAGAGCAACCCACAAGTGAACATGGACTACAGCGAGTTCGTTCTCGGAGACAATGAGCGCCCGCTCCAATGGAAGGGAGAAGGAATGGGAGGGAAGGGAGAGGTGGTCCAGTTTCACCTCCGGAGGAAGGACAGTTTCAGCTTCATGCAGCGGCCTCACTCCAGCTCACACTCTCGCTCACGCTCGCAGTCACCAGACGACGCTGATGACCTCTCGCTCCCGGCACTGGTGGAAATTTTCCTCGACGCCCACCCCCAGCAGCGCCCTCACCGCTTCCTCCTGTCAGCCGAGACCACCGAAATCGGAAGCAGCTCAGCGTTTTCCGTTGGAAATACAGACCCCCGTGGTCATCTCTGCCTCAGTTCACCTTCCATTAGACCTCGGCACTGTGTCGTCAAATTCAACGGTCAGTCGTACACCATCGCCCCTCTTGATAAGTCCGCTCAGATCTTCATCAATAGCGACCCAATACACGGGATCCACGTCCTAGAGCACAACTCGGTGGTGCGACTGGGCGAGTACAAACTCTTCCGCTTCTTCGCTCCCATGCCCCCTCCCCTGGGCGTCGCCGCGAGCAATGGGGTGAAGACAACGTGGCAGAATTCAAATTCGAATCACGACGGTTACGAATTGTCGTCCCACGGAGGAGGCGGAGGGGACGTATCCAGGGCAAAGTCGGTTGAAAACATCCGCCATTCTCACCTGGCGGACGAGATTCAGCAGAGTTCGGTGCCGCGGCGATTGAGAGGGAAGGCCTTTTCGGAGTACGACCTCCAGGCACAGATGGTCGGGGAGGAGGAAGAGGAGGAGGAGGAGGGAGAGAGGAGAGAGAGGGAGAGAAAGAGATCTGACCCGCGGACTAACTCCCAGCTGGACGATAGGGTGAGACACTATAATTTAGCTTTATAGACCTCGGTAAATGGACTGTACAATCTGTGAAGAAGCCATTCTCCCTGTGAAATTGTTTAGGAGGGTGTATAAGGGGACAGCTCTTTTGTAAAATGCAAAGTTCCAACCATACAGTATGAGGTGATATGATATTGTTTTCTAAGAGGGATGGGTGGATGGACGGATATATATACAAGTTTGTATTATTATGAATGCACTGCATGTTGGAGGTTAATGGTCGAGATCAGAGCTTTAGTGACGCTTTGAAGTTTGAATTGCCACATAAGACATTTGGAGACCAAATGTTGTACGTTTATTGATCAAGGCTATCTGACTCTTTAGAGACTTAATAAAAGAGTATATTTATCCCTCCTAAGCAGCCCCCCCCGCCCCCCCCCACGACTGATGCTTAAGCGCAACACTGTATGGTAAAGAAGGAGGAGAGAGACGGGGGGTGTGTTGCAGTACAAATGTCTTAGGTCTCTGTTTTTTCTATAGAGTATCGGGTGGAGAAACTAGTAGAGAATAATGGTGCCTCTATTTCTCACATGACAATTGGAATTGTGGAGTAGGGGATCTGTTAGTATGTGGGGTGTTTGGTTAGCACCTAGAAGGTAAGTGGTAGGGTGCTGTGGTGAACTTTTGGCGGTTGTAATGTACAAATGGTAGCTAACATATTTTACATATGCTGTACCCGCCAACCCAAATAATTGGAGCGTTCTTCAATGTGAATGTACGTATGCATGATGGATAATGTTCAGCGTGTTAGTTTAGTGTTGGCCGTGCTATAGCTACATGGCTGTGTGTACATGAGAGCTATGCGAGGTAAGGGCACCGAGCTTGGAGTGAACAGCATGACTTGATGGAGTAGGTAAAAGGTGGACTGCATGCCTCTGACAGCGTCGCCGTGACATGGCAGGTGTCATTCGGTCAGGCGCACGCAATTCCCAGAAGGGTCTACATCGGAGACGTTGACCGTAAAATATTATGTTTGATAGATATGTGAGTGGTTGAGGAGGCTGTCGTCGTGCCCACGTGACGTAATCAGTACGTTGCTGATATGGGTCAAACCGGATGCTTGGGACGTCGTTGTGCTCGACTCTTGATCTATCGTGGCACTTGTCGGTAGCTGATCCTCCCTCTGTCTGTCAAAGACAAGGGTGGGTTTTGGAAACCGGAAACCAAACGGTGTCAACATTTTGTGTGGCTAACGACCACATTAGTGTGGCTGAAAACAATATCACCCCATGACTAAAGTTTCTGGTATAGGCAACATGCCAGTTAGCTGTATACAAAGTGTCTATGTTACTGTACGACATTGGGTGTCATGGTTGTTATGATGTCCAGTCACGGTTTTACTTCTGGGCGGCAAACAAATGTGTTGGGTAGACGTTGCCAGTTTGCCCCTGGTATACCAATTACTATTAGATGTACCCGGTGCCCATTAATGTTGCTGATTGTTGAAACCCGCAGCAGTTACTCATGCAGATAATGTCCATGGACCCAACACCACACTACCACAAATGTTAGACAAGAATTTGACTCGTGCCCAGGCTCTTTGTGTCCATAAACTTACCCCAACCCACCCTACCTATTACCCCCCTACCTTCTACTTTTCTATTCATACAAGAAAGAAACGAACTAAATTTTATTTGAACGGAAAAAGACCACAAAGAAGAACGGACAAAACTCTGCAAAGCAAGGAATAGGGTCAAAAACGACTCACAAACAGCAGTCCAAAACGGGAGAAAGTCCCCCTCACGGATGACGGACCGCGGAGAATGGCTCACCCCTCTCTTTACGTTCCACCAGGAAAAAAACCACACTCAGCAGAAGCAGCTGACTTCTCAAGAATCAAGGAAGAAAATCGGGTTGAAAGAAGTCGACTGTCACCAGATTCAGTTCAAATTGGGAACGGAATACGGAAGGGATCGGCGGGATATGATGAAACAGAATAGGCTAACGGGGGCGGAGTGTTAAGGCGGGGACAGGGCCCGGGACATCGGAACCGGAGCGACGGAAGGCTTCTCGTGGACTTGGGATTGGAAGAGAAGTCTGGAAAAAAACTAAAGCGAAAATCAGAAAAAAGGGAATGAATGTTGGTTATGTAACAGTAAATTAGAACAGCAGTTATAAAACCGACTTCAAAATCTCTAAGAAAAGGACACTGTGTAGCTTGCAGGACGCCATTTTAGAAAAAGGTAACCAAAGGGATGGTTGTAAAGGGAAGGGAACATAAGGA